GAGGAGGCAAGGACGGTCGCACACGAGAGGGAAGGACCAGGTGGAGGACCTCATACCAGCTTGACCCCTCCTGGAGCCTGATCCGGTTCACTGAACTATTGTTTACGTGTACATAGTGTATTTTGGCTAACAACGGAGGAAGAAGAATATAGTGGGTCGAACATGAACGTTCTCGATGGGTCGAGAGCTTCACGACTCTACGTCACTTTGGTAGTGAAGGGAAAGGCTCGACCAATCAGCAACACCTTTTATGTTCTACCCGCTATTCTTCTTCCTCCTTCTGCTAATATACACTCGACACGGCAAAATAAAAAGAAATTGTGATGGAAATTGAAATATATTATGGCTAGTTTTTTATTTTTACAACCATCTCATCACGCATTTTTCGTCGCCTATTGAATGCATTCTCATGAAAATGAAATTGGTTGTCACAAGCGGCCGCTCTGTGGTATTGATAGCGAGAGGGGAAGGTTGGTGGGGGGGAGGGGGGGACTATTGCCTTTCTGCTAGAGATGGTCTCTTGGGGACTGTCTAAAAACAATTAGCCATGTTATTCTCATTTTCATCACGATTGTTTTTTAAGTGTAGTCAAGTCACCAGGCCCAGTGCTAGGCCCAGACGGGCTTTGACCGAGCCGGACCGAGCCGCCGCCTCAGCGCTTCTGCACGGCCTGCGACTGCGTTTGCGCGTTTGCGGGTTTCGTGACGGAGAGCCCACCCCACAGAAGACTACGCCGCGCAGCAGGTCGCCGCCGTGCGCAAGGGCGTCTTCTGCATCTGTCTGTGTCGGGCGTCGGGCTCGAGAGTACACGTGTACTGTGAATATACACTCAAATAGTGAACATAACTGAATAGTCACTGAATACTGAATAATCGCTAACGTCAACAGAATATTGAAGATATTAACTCCCTCGTGAATCGTTAAAACTCGGAAGTTGGTGCCTCCTTTGTCGGGCTGCTGCTAACTCTAACCCCAAGCGAGTTGCTCGAACCGGACAACCGGACCCTTATTCCACGGTAAAAACAATTTTCTCATTTTTCGAGGGAAAAGGGAAAACTTTGAGGAACTCCCATGGTTTGACAAAAACTCCTCATTTCGAGGAAGTCTCCTTAAAGATTGTGGGGTTTTTCCTCATTTTTTGAGAATATTCCTCAAAATCTGAGGCGAGATCGGAGGACTCTTCCTCAAACATGGGAGTTCCTCAAAGTTTTCCCTTTTTCCTCAAAAAATGAGACATTGTTTTTACCGTGTCTGTCTCGCTCGCACCTGCGCGTTCCGAGTCCGTCGTGTGCCCAAATGAAAACTAACTGCAGTCTATGGGAAGCGAACGGCCGTTGATAGGGGACTCGAAACGCGTCATTTCGATGTTGTGGACGTCTCGCTTGTCCTCTGCTCACGTGCAGGATCCATCGGGGTCAGGGGCGGCGGCAGGAAGGCCAAGTGCGTCGCCGCCCCGTCCTCGAGCCCATAACCCCCTTGTTTCCCCGATGTCCGAGTGCATAATCACTGACGTACAACATAACTTTCGCGGCGGTGCAGGCGCGGATTAAGGGGAGGGGCGAGGGGGGCGACTGCCCCCCTGTCGTCTCTAGACAGCCGCCTGAAAAGTATGCAATTTGTTCTACAAAACCCCTTGTATGTAGGCACCAGCAGTGCGTCGGCTCTCTGTCAGCTATGGACCTTAATTCGCGGCCGCGCCTGCGGCGTTGATCTGGGGGTCATGTCAAAACAGCGCCCTCTATCAGTGGGATGATTCTGGGGGCGCAACCACCTCATCTCCTCACAATGCCCCTCTCCCGCAACTGCGGGGTTATTAGCGATCAACAGTCGTAACCGATCTTCGACTCTTTTTTAGCTGATGATATTGTTATGAGTATACTGTTAACAGAAAGGCAGGTATGCGATACCCGAAAAAGAAATGATAGTATGGCGCAGCGGGCTGTTTGGTGCAAATTATTCTTAAGTGTATTGATCTGCATGGTGTTTTGTGAATTATTTAAACTTTTTTGTAAGTGGATTGCAGATTGTTTTTTTTTATGACAGAGTTGCGGTATACAGGCGGCGTCGAATCATAACACATTAAGTGCAATAGAAGTACGTGCAGTAAACAGGGGCACACAAACAGAGGACAAATAGGCAGTCGGTTAAGTCTAAATTTTACGTTTCATAAAGATATTTTTGTTATCCAAGGGTAGTTCTCTCCTACCTTCTCTCTCCTCCCTTCACTCGCTCTCACTCTTTCTACCCCGCCCCCCTCCTTTCCCACCAGTTTAGCGAGCGATTATTGCTCTGATATCAAACTTGGTAATGAAGTTCAAGTACTATTTGAGCTTTCGAATAACCCGTGTGTGTGCCAATTAGTCCATCTGTTACGACGTTATGAGGAGCTAATGCCGAAAAAGGGAAATGAGATGCTTTGTTGCGATGAGCTTCCTATTTGGAGTCGTACACAGGCGTCATTCACAGTCAAACGTCAGACAACACAGACGGCCACGTGAGATCCGAGGTGCCTTGACCCTTTGTCATTCTTCGGTGGCCAATAAACTGTCGGTGGAGTCCCCTGAACAATTATCAGCTGTTGCGATGCAGTCATTCAAACTAGATGTCGGAAAATAGTGACTTAGAAATTCATATCTCATATTCAGACCAGTTATTAGCCCGAATTGTGTGGGGTGAGTAATCTGCTGCGCGGTCTTTCTCTGGTTATTCTGTATCGGATGCAGGTGTGGACGGGTTGCATAATCTAACGGGGCCGTAGGTAAGGTGTCTTGGCGAGCGACGTTCGGCAAACCCGCCTACCCGCCTGCACGCCTGAGTTCAGTGTATTCGGGGTATTCGGGGTATAAGCAGGAGAGAAAGGTTCACGTCACCCTTTTCGTCTAATTCTGCCTCCTATACCGAAATGTCCGAATTCTCTGTTGTTTTTTTTAACAGTGAGGAAGGTGATGGTTTCTTCCACCGTTTCGGGTAGAGGTCGCTCTAAACAAGCAAAATTAGAATTTGCAACACGTCCCAGAACAATCCTCTTGGGGCCTATTGCCAAATGTATGAGCGAGTGAGGGGCAATAGCCCATCTCACCCGTTCGACAGGTACGAACAAGAGACATTCTAGAAATCGGGAGCTTCACTGGTAAAACAAAGGTGCTAAGTCGCGCCTTTCCTGGGGCATTAAACAGCCCAAAAGGTGCTGAAAATTTGTGCCTTTGTTTTAGTGGCTTTGTAAAGGCACTAAAAGCTTAGTGCCTTCTAAAGGTAGGAGTTAGCACCTTTGTTTTTCCAGTGTATGTCGAACGTTCCTTTGCCGTTAACCGCGAGGGCAAGAAGCCATCGGTGCCACAAAAATATGCTACCGTCGACTAAATTAAGGACGAGGAATACGAATATTTTGTTACAAATTGGCGACAACCCCTTATTTTGAGTGGACGCAAGTCGGACTTCCAGTATTTTTGTTCTTCGAGATGTCGAACTGCGTGCGGGTGAAATGCTCTATTATCTCTGTCCAGATCGGCCCCTGGAGCAATCCAGCGGGAACCCCCTTTTGGTTGACAACTATCCGGGTTTGTGTGGAGTAATCCGTCCTTGCGGACTTTTTTTGTTGTCGCTTTGCATCGCGTGGCCTATACAGACATTTTGGAGCACACGGTATGGGAAAAAAATACACGAGTGCAGAGTGCTTATGGCAATTTGTTGGCTCGTGATCGCTCACGATCGTCCGCGATCAGCATTCGTATGTGATGCGTACAGTAAGGACTTGGGATGAGCTCATGCGGCCGCATTTCCGTCCCATTCCCGTCCCACGGCGGAAGGGCGGCGCGGGGGTTGGCGGGCCGGGGCGTTCGGGGCTGGGGCGCGTGAGGCAAGGCCGTCCACGGCGTCGTCGTCGGGTCAGAGCGGAGCCGTCATCAGTCCGACCAGGTCCGACCCACCCGCAGCGGCCTCCAGGGTGCCCCTCATAAGCAGCCCAGTGCTCAGACGTAGCGGTGTCGTGGTGGACGCAGGTCCTCCTCATCAGTGCTTCAACAAGTGTCGTACGGGAAGCAGCAAGCGGCCAGCAGCGAGCACCCAACAGCTCGGTGAGTGCGCGGCGCTCCCTGCGCAAGTAATGTGCTCGCGAAAATGATAAACGCGTGTGGCGGCCCGGGCACCTGTATGTATGGTGTAGGTGTCGGACTTTTAGCGCCGGTGTCCACTTGTAGCGTCCTGTCCGATTTAATTTAATTTTGAATTTTTTGCCATACGCGCTTTCAGTTATGGAATGTCATATAGACTTTGAGTTTGTCGTTGAAAGTAGATCCCAAGCGAGTGAATATCATGGTGTGCGAGTGCACACAGCGCTATTATTGGTGAAAAGTTGTGTAATAAGCAACAGGCGGCTAATACACAGTGAAAATTGTAACAGGCCAGGCCAGGCTGGCAGGGGTCCGGAAACCTAACTGTCTTTCTCTCGGCACCCCGCACCCCTTTTAGGGCATGGGGTAGGTGGGTTTCTTTTACCACGGCACCTTATTAGAAAATAGAGACATACTGTTACTGTTGTTGAGCCTATGATAAACATATCCACGTCGATGGAATTTTTCACGGTGCAGGTAACTATACTACGAACGGCATCCAAATATCTTCATCCGCCTAAATATGATAGTAGACAAAGAAGCCTTCACCCAAAAGTGGGTAATTTTCGTACGGCCCCTAATGTATCATCCGTGACGTGGCGGTGGCAGCCCAGCAGCAGCTCATCACGCTAAGCGAACTCACGCCGGAGCGGAGAGGAGCGAGAGTTGGTGGTTAGTCGTGAACCTTTTCAGGAGCAGAACCATTTTTTTTCACTAAGTGCCCGTAAAATGCGTCATAGGCGCACTGACAACAGTAGTCTGGCATTTCCGATAGACACTCATCCCGCCCGAGACACTCTGTGACAACTTGCCAGTCTCGTGTTCGTCTGCCTTACTTCTGTCTTAGTACTTTCAAACAAAATCAAGCAGACAGAAATAATATTGTCTTTGTCGCTGATTCATGATTGATTGCCATACTGCATGTGTTATGGCAGACCCGATGGTGGGAAATGAACTCTGTAAACACGTGAACTTTTGCGTCGAGTGGAGTCACGGGGCGGGGAAAGGGGAAAGTGGTCGGGGAGGGAGGAGCAGACTGCTGAGGGTAGTGGTATTAAGTATCGCCCACAGCCGCGCCACCCCGCCACGCCCCGCCACGCCCCGCTGCGCCCCGCCACCACCCCCAGCGCCTCGTAACCACCTGGTTCTCGTTTCGGTGCTGCGGGTTGCACTTCTCGGAGGTGCTTGTCCTCAAAGATTATGACGACCACGTTCCCCCGGCATCTCGTTTGTCGATCCCACCGAGTTACGAGGGTCGATCGGCGCGTATAGCTTACGCCACACGCGGGTCTGGGTGGCCGCGGTGGGGGGAGGGGCGGGGGACGCCACCCCTACACTTCGCGGACTCGTTTCCTCCCCTCTTTCTGCCCTCCTCTCTCTGTCTCTCTCTCTCGTCTCTCTCTCACTACCACAACCCCTCTCTCCGCCCTCGAGTACATTACTCGCGAGGCATGCACCCGCAACAGCGGCACTTTCACCTGGCTCGCGGCCCGGCCCGCCCCGGGTCCGAGCTCACCATGAGCTCGCCCATCACCCGCCGGCTTGTGGCTCTAGGCCTATATGGGCGGGCGCGGACGGACTGTCCAAACTGCGCAAGCTCCCCCGAATCTCTCTGTCAAAGCCTCTCCGCAAGCCGCAATTATTACGTGCTCGATGTCTATCATGGAGTGGCGGTTTTGATGCGTTCTGATGGCAGCGGGCGATGAAAACATGAAGAAGCCCGCGGTCGCGGCGCGCCCGGCCGGCCGGCCCGGCCCGGCGGAGCCACGTGACGTGTGTATCGTGACACGTGAGCTCCAGGTCGTCAAGCCCGCACACGGGGGAAATGAATTGCTTATTGCGCCGGCATGAAAACTGTTGTTCCAGTCGGTGAAGGGGTGCAGCAGCTGCACTGCAGCCGCTCTCTGCTGCCTTCGGGGCGAGAGGCCCCCTGAGACTCTCTCTCATTCTGAGCGGTGGACCTGCTGCACCTGCTGCAGCAGCAATTTCACCGAAAACTTTTGAACAGGGCGCCGGCGGCGCCGGCGGTCACCCGGACTTGTCATTGTCACGGCCGGGCCGCGACCGCGATCTCCTTCTCTGGCCGGTGTGGACCCCAATGTCAGGGTCAGTCTGTGGCCGCGGGGACTGCCCTAGTGCCCCGCCCCGCCGGGTGTTCAATATTGTCACCGCCGCGGCCGGGCAGGGCAGTCCACAGCACAGTAGCCCACGGGACGGTCTAGCGACGGGACCGACACGACGCCGCCGCGACGCACAGCCTCCGGGCCCTGCGGCTGCTGCGGCGCGTCACCCTTCAGGCCAAAGGAAAGTCGCGGCGGGCTTTTGTCCGCGGGTGGCGCGCGGCGCTGGCTGGTCGAACGTATACGAACGGCGAGCACAAGACCGGAGGAAGGGGAAGGGAGGGGGCATCACGAGGGAGATGCTGGCGCGCCGAATAAAGGAGGTCATTTCCTCGTCATTTCACTCTAACGACTTGAGCGCGACGACGCGCAGGGCCCCGACGACGCGCGTGTCCAGGCTCACGTGGTTTTTGGAGGAGACGAGGATGACGCGCTCTCGTGGCTCCCCGAGCCTGGAGCCCCCGCGCTGTCGTGGACGTCAGTCGTTTGCGAAGTGTCTGCTTGGACGAAAGTACACGGAAGAAAATTCAAAACTAAAAAAAAAATATTAGTGCTCAAATTTTAAAGCTGTGTACAGCAACAACAAAAATAGTCTGCAAGCTAGAAAGAAAAACGACGTTGTACTGAAGCTAGAATAATATGAAAACGTAGAGGGTGGTCAACTCCACAGACCCCTTCCTTTATTTTGCTTATACTGTACCGAATGCAGGCGCGCGGGCGGGCTTGCCTGCCGTCGCTCACCGCGGCGCCTTACGGCCCCGTGCGCGTATGCAACCCGTCCGCACGCCTACATCCGGTACAGTATAAGCAAAATAAAGGAAGGGGTCTGTGGACCACCCTGGTCTTGTGATACGTCGAAACAATTGAGTATTTTGTGGCGTTTCAAATGTACACATTTCCATGCGGATGGGGGGATGGTGCGTTGGTGCGTGTGCGTGGGAGGCGCGTTTCTCTCATGTAACACACCCGCCCCGCGCCCGCGGCACAACAGGTCCCATTCCATTCCAAATTGCACAATTGCGGCGGGTGCCTAGCTGGGCGCGCCGCGGGCCCCGCCGCCCCTGCTGCTGCTCGTCCCGTCCGTCCCGTCCGACTTGTCCACCATGACTTAGCACGCCGCCGTACCGGCAGCGGGGCACGGCCCGGCACGGGGCCGCTTCAACGGCGTGAAAGTCCGTTAGCCGTCGCGAGTGCCGGGCCGGGCCGGGCAACGGCGGGAGACTCGGCGAAATGACCCCCGCCTCCGACGAGCACAGCAAGACCCCCGGGCCCTATACACGCGCAGCAAACTTGCCGGAAGCGTACAAAACATGTTTGTGGCGTGCACGCTGCGCGCACGGCGGGCGATGCGGCGCGAGCTCGGTGCGTCCACAAATGCAAATCAAATCGGAACCGCGTCGCGCCCGACCCTTTGAAGGACGCGACGCGACGCACGCCGGCGGTGCCCGATGACGGCCAGCCGCCCATCTCGCCGCGCCCGCCACAGCCGGCAGCGCCGCGCCCAGCCCCGCCCCGCAGCGCCTCCCGCCGCCGTGACTCGCCACTTCAGCGATGGCACACAGGCGCCGTGTGCGAAAGGGCTCAGGGCGATTTCCCTTCATGGCTTTAGTAGCGGGCCGTTTCTTCCCAAACGCACCGTCCCATCTGCCGTGTCATTCACTTTATGACCCCCCCCCCCTTCCCCCTTTCTCTCTCTCCCGGACGAATGTGCCGTTTGAACGCGGCCTACCGAGCCCTCTCCTAACAGACACCGCGTTGCTTATTGTTCCAGATTAACAATTGGCCATGGCGCCTAACGTGACCAGCACGACGACGCTGTTCATGGCCGAGGCGGCAGTCTGCCCGACGTCCAAGCTGACGACCCTCCGCCGGCCCAGCTCTGCGACGATGCCCTCCATGGTCCCCGTCGGCCAAGCCGTCGGCAGCCCCGCGCCACCCACAGCCACGACCATGGCCTCGGCCAAAGCCTCGGTCGTCGACCGTCCGGTCGCGGAGGACCCTTACGCATGGCACATCGTCTGGAGGAACGTAATCGCCTTCGCGTACCTCCACTACGCGGCCGTCCGCGGCCTCTACGTGTTCTTCTCGGGCGGCATCGCCTTCCCGACGTACCTATGGAGTGAGTACCTCCCAGCCTCCCCCTGCCTCTCCCCAAGCTGTGCCCGAGCTCTCGCTTAACCTCGCCCCTTTCCTCCCCACAGCCGCAGTGCTTGTCGTCCTCTCGGCCCAAGGCATCACCGCCGGCGCGCACCGTCTGTGGGCGCACCGCGCGTACAAGGCCAGGCTCCCGCTCCGAGTGCTGCTCATGCTGTGCCAGACGCTGGCCTTCCAGGTGAGCCACCCTCTCCGTCCGAGGCCCTCCTTGTCGCCTATAGCCCTTCTCTCCCGCTTGAGGCTAACAGACTCCCCTCTATTCCAGAACCACATCTACGAGTGGGTGCGCGACCACCGCGTCCACCACAAGTTCACCGACACCGACGCCGACCCGCACAACGCCTCCCGAGGCTTCTTCTTCTCGCACATGGGCTGGCTCATGGTGCGCAAACACCCTGACGTGAGGCGCAAGGGCGCCGGCGTGGACATGAGCGACCTCGAACAGGACTCCGTCGTCATGTTCCAGAAGAAGTAAGTAGTGCCTCACCGTCACCGCCTCCATGGAGTGTGCTCTGGTCGAGGTCCGCAGTGTCTCACCGTACTTGTTTGCAGGTCGTACCTGGTCCTGATGCCCCTGATCGCCTTCTTCCTCCCCGCCTACGTGCCGTACAAGTTGTGGGGCGAGAGCTTCTGGGCCGCCTACTACGTCAGCTCCATGATGCGCTACGTCCTGAGCCTGCACGGGACATGGCTCGTCAACTCTGCCGCACACATCTGGGGCATGAGGCCCGTCGACAAGTAAGTCACACTGCTCCGTCCGCTTTGCATACCTCGACTAAGTCAGGTGGCTCATGACTTGCTTCTTGTTCCCCCAGGAGCATCTCCCCGACCGAGAACTACTTCGTGGCGCACGTCGCCTTCGGCGAGGGCTGGCACAACTACCACCACGTCTTCCCCTGGGACTACAAGGCGGCCGAGCTGGGCGACTACTACGGCAACATCACCACGGCCATCCTCGACTTCATGTGCTACATCGGCCAGGCTTACGACCTCAAGACCGTGTCCAAGGAGATGGTGGAGCGGCGAGTGGCGAGAACGGGTGACGGCACGCACCCCAGTGTCCAGGACAAGCAGCAGCCCCACCACCATCACCACCACCACCACCACGGCGACGAGGTGTGGGGCTGGGGCGACAAGGACATGCCCCAGGACGACGTCCTCGGCGCCACCATCATCAACAAGAGCGATTAGGTGGCCCGGTTCGGGCCCACCCCGCCAACGCAAACGCCACTCCACGCCGCGCCACGACGGGCTGGGCCAGTCCGGGAC